GGAAATAGAGAGAGAGGATGAGAGAGAAGAGGACGGGGGATTCGCGTTTAGGCATGGAGGTGTAGTCTCATCATCTTCTACTGGAAAAAGAGAGAGAGAGAGAGAGAGAGAGAGAGAGAGAGAGAGAGAGAGAGAGAGAGAGAGAGAGTGAGAGTGTGTGTGTGTGTTGGCTAAGGCTTTTCTGAAGTAGAATTTAGAGTGAGAGCAGTATATATTAAATGTACATAATTTAGTAATAATCTTTGTTTTTCGTGTTGAAAGTATTTCACAAAATATGACAAATATGACAGATCTAATAGCAGTATCAGTCTGGTGTTTAATAGCAGTATCAGTCTGGTGTTTATATAACATTGAATATAGATGTGTAAAATAACCATTGTCCTTATGCACAAAATTGTGATCAAGCACTAATATTTCACTGTAACAAAATTAAGTAGGTTTCCAGTATTAGCATGGAGGGGCTTATAATATGCTGTGATATTGCTGGTTATATATAGTATAAATTGAGAAGAACATATCTTTAACTGGTGATGGTATTTTTTCTGATAAAAAAATTAATAATTTAGTGGAGTGGACATGATTCTTACATTAGCAATCATTATTTTACCAGTAAGATCTTTGTGGAGGGTCTGTGCTGTTGATGCAGAAGAATATGTATACAGTGTTGAGACATTGATGGCTTCTCAGCTTCACATTAGATCAATGGTCAAACTCAGGGGTAGAATTTTTATAATCGGAGATGACTTGATTCATATTGGATGATTTTGTATGTAGATATTGATTGGTCATTCAGTGTGAGATCATTAACTTGTTATTATTTCAGTCTGGAGGTTACTAATGACTTTGATATCTTGTGAAGTGATGACAAAATTGCTATAAAACACATTACATTAGCAGGTAGTTGTGGTTACATCTCAGTACAAAATCTCTTCAGTCCTTACGACCAGGTCATGTGTTAATAAGTCTTGTCATCCTAAAGGAATAAGATATAAATTATAACATTGATTACATTTTATATACCTGGTGTAAGGCTTGTAATGTCCCGAGGGAAAAGTTCATTATCATTTGCTGAAGAATTTTACTTGTGGCTGCTCAATTTTGGCTAAGAATAACAGAATACAGGGTAAAAACAAGACAAGTAAAATGGTGGTACCTAGATCTTGAATTTTAACTATCTCAAAATTCAAAATTCTTTACACACAAAAACAAAATAAAAGCTTTTTGAATTAAAGTTATTCAATTACGTAGCAGTTAGGTTGTCTCAGGGACGTCCCTGGTTGTCTGAAGCAAACAAACAACATTTTGCTTTCATATCATGACTGCTTTATAACTGTTTTATTTCAGTGTGAAACAAACTTTGGAAATTAAAATGTTTTAAATTTAGATTATATTTCAAGATGTTTCAACATTCCTTCCCTGACTAAACTCAATTACAGATATGACAAAGAGAACATTGTCTGTTGTGTTGGTAGAAAACAGTCCAATATTTACTCCACATAAATACATGGTATTTGTTGGAGGTCTGGAGATGTGTGTTTAAGGCATTGCTAACAGACTTGGAAGTTTAACCAAGTGTACATGCTTATCGTATGTAAATGATAAACTCATTGACAGAATTTCATTGTCATGAAAGGCTCGGTGACAAACTCCAATAATAATAAGTTTCCAAGGATTAAATCTGTTATTCTGAATGAATTTCTTTCTTGTCTGTAAAATATTGGGAATTGGAGTTTGCACATGTGTCAGATATTCATCTTCAGGAATCCAGGTACAGATGTGCAATTCATTGAAAAATTTTGTATGCAACATGAAAAACAAATCATCGCCAACTTAAGATTATAAGCGCTTTAATGAATTGAAATTTGTTAGAGCCTGAGCTAGATATGGGAGTGTGAAAGGAGCTATAATACAGTCCTATTGGATCTTCTTATCAGATAATGTGTATACTAGTAGGTATGTCAACACACTTTCCCTGATCCAGTATGTTATTCAATGTATAATATCACCTGTAATTCCCTCACCCCAGATTAAGGATGGCTGCAGGTAGACACTGATAAAAACCTTTATTTCATGAGACTTGTGTTGCCCTGTGCCACAGGATAGTAACACTTGTGTTTTGTATTACAGATATTCTGCACTATCTACTGTTCCTAGGGATTTACTGGTAGAGTTACATACATATCATGTGATAATGCCAAGGGGCCAACATATAAATCTGACTCCAAGTCAGGGTTATGCAGGCTTATTGCAGGAAACTGATATAACATTTGAACAGAAATAGACACACATAGGTGGTCTTATCACTAGACGAGGGTTGTAGTAACTCTGTATGATCTACTGTTACCAGGGATTTAGTAGTGGAGTTACGACATGTACAATACAGATAACAATGCTGTCTCCATGTCTCTGAAAAGTATATAAATGCATTGCTGTTAATATAACCTTGTGTTTGATAAATATATTGTCCCCCTATCAATACCGTGTTGTGAACTGCTATCACAACTGTGTTGCCAGTCTTAAAAATGATTGTTGGTGACGCTTTTAAACATTCATTGTCTTGTTTATTTTTTTGTCTAGGATATTTCTTGTATGTGTTTTATTATCAAGCCTCTTTTTTTTTTCTTTTTATTGGAGTATGTTTCTTGGTTCAGTTGGTAAAGCCAGTCGATTATCACACAGGAGACCCTGGCTTCATTTCTTGTTGGGGCACTCCACTGGAATGTGTATTTTCCCTGATGTTTTACTCTGTCTTTGAAATCACAGTCTCTTCATTATATCTAGAAATAATCAAATTTAGGTTCATAAGTAAAGGTTAGAATGATAAAAATGAAAATTATTTCTTTCTGACTTATATTTGATTATACATAAGCCATGATTTTAATATTGAGCATCCTGTACGTAAAAGATTCTTACCATGTGTACATAATGAAAGTGTGTACTTACGTCCTATGGTGTTTGTTGATCTAGACATTTAATACTCATCCTGAATCGTATTGACATTGAATGAAACCTTATAGTCATACTATTTGTATTGAAGTCTATACAGAATAAAACCCAACACAAATACCTGAGAGTAGTACTCTGTTAGTAGTTCACACCTTTACCCACAATACACACTAGCCTGGTACCAAGGGCAATCCAGTGGAAACAGAAACCTAACCCCTGTGTAATCACCCTACAGTCAATAGCTGATCATTTTTCATGAAGAAGAAACCAAAGATATTTCAATTTGAAAAGATTATTAGACAGTAAACAGATATTTGTAGGATTGATAATTGATCTGAGCAGTTAGAGTTAGTGTTATAAGGCGTCCACCTTCATACTTCCCCAATAAAGCTGACTTTGAAGCAGTGACAGAAGCCATCTATTTATAAGGAGGTGGTGGCAATAGCATAATTTTTTAGAATTGAAACCCGAGTTTTATGATTGAACTATCAAATCTTTATCAATATCTACTTTATTGTTATTGATGTGATCAGGAGTTAATAGAAGGTCTATGAGAAGACAGTATGAGTAGTATTCATTTACATTAAACAGATACCAGGTACTGTTTCCTCCATTAAAAAGTATCCAGATACTGTTTCCTCCATTAAAAAGTATCTAGAATCCAGATAATATCTCTCCATCAAAAAACATCCAAATGCTGTTTCTGCATCACAAAAGCATCCAGATACTGTTTCTGCATCAAAAAAGCGTCTAGATACTGTTTCTGCATCAAAAAAGCGTCTAGATACTTTTTCTGCATCAAAAAAGCGTCTAGATACTTTTTCTGCATCAAAAAAGCGTCTAGATACTGTTTCTGCATCCAAAAAGCGTCTAGATAATGTTTCTGTACCAGAAAATATCTAGATACTGATCCTTCCATCAAAACGTATCCAGAATACTGATCACATCTCTCCATTAGAAAATCTGTTTCTTTAAACAACATCCAGTTTTTTATAGAAAAAAAGTATTGAAATACTGTAAAAAAAAAAAAAAATGTCCAGATGTTGTTATACCCCGCCCAATGAAGTTGGCGGGGGATATTCAAATGGGCTCCATCTGTCCTTCCTTCCATCCGTCCAGATGCTGCTTTTCACATGATATCTTTTGAAGGACTGGTCGGATTTTTATGAAACTTGATTGGTCCACTTGTTACCCTAATCTCTTGCATAAGTTTGATAAACAGCTAATTTTGTCAAGGCTGCTGTGACCTGATTGGCTGATATTTTTTATAATTTTCATTTGACCACTGTAACGTTGAAAGTTGATCAAACGCCATACAGTAAATACTTTTTAAGTTATGGCTGTTTTAAACTTTTGACATATGATGTCATATCAGTCATATTGGAATTTTTGATTTGTTTGAAATGAAATATCAGTTTACACCTATAGACCATGTCTTAAACATTAAAAAAAAACTATCAACATGTTCTGACTGATTCAGAAATTTTTGCACGACAAAATTATGGAATAATAATAACACAGAACAATAACAAGAAGTCTTTTCACGAGTTGGCAAAAAAACCTTTGATAATGAATCTCCAAAATGTTTTTAGAAGTCTGATGTTTAAAAGATGTTGCACTATCACCGATTGTGATTTGTTTTACTGATAATAACTTTCTTGCAGTTTTACATATCTGAATATTAGATGCTGTATTGCATTTTATTAATGTGTATAAACCGTTTCACTGTTTTGTCATACTTGATCGGTAATAGAATCATTGATTGATCCAGCATCGCTGAAATTAAGTGACAAATATTCTATCCTTACCATTGGGTAAAAGAAGGGAATATAAAGGTATGATAAGCTGATTTTGATATTCACAGTATTATGCTACTAAAATGTTATTACATTAATCACTTTCAAGGGAACTTTAAACTGAACATAAACAATAAATGGTTTCAATATTTTGGTTTTCCATGTTGCTCACTTAAATTGTATATCTTTTACAAACGAACATGGCTGGGGGATCTTGATGACTATGTCATTGTTTAATTCGATGCTATCCATTTTCAGACAATCAGTAGAGCAAGCAGTCGGAAGTCACGTCCAGCCAGCAGTGGGTCACGTCTAGAGACAGGGCACAGCTCTGACAGTGACACAGACAATGAAGAGGTTACACGACACAAACCTCATCTGGAAGTTGACTTTGCAACTGTGGATATCACCGATGAGAAAGCATTTGATACTGATCTTGAAATTGAAGGTAGGCTTTGTGTTTCTACAGAATATAAATGATGACAAATGAAGTAGGAGTTGACTGAACAGAGAATATGATTGATGAATTCATATCCAGAAAGAGTTTGATATGATATACATGTACTCTAAGCCACGGCTTTCCAAGGCTATGAAATTTGCTATTACAGACAGTGTTTAGATGTATACTGTATCAGGTATCTGTTTCTTTTATATTTGAAAATAAGGTATTTTTTTCTCAAGTCATGGACTTGGAATTGGAATTTTTCCTTGAAATTAAAAGAAAATTTGATATTTACCCAGTTAATATAAATTCCTATTAGTACACAGCAGATTTCAATGATAAGATTTTTCATGAAGGTCTGTGTTAATGATTCTGAGTTATGTATCATTACTGTGACATACACACTCAAACTACTATTATCTGTGTAATTATTCATACAAACTTTGGAATTTTTTTTTCTGGGACAAGGTATTGTGCAGTGATTAAAGTACTGAAGTTACTTTACCAGATTAATTGATACAAATATCTTATTTTTGCCTGCAAACTTGTCGTTTTATCATGTTTGAACACTCTAGTAAGGTAATCCATTGGTGAAATGGTGTATAATGAAAATGTGGTATCGATGATGCCTTTTTAACAGTATTATGACATTGGTATTTATGGTTTTGTTAGTGCCATCCTTTGGAAGTCATATGGAAATGATTGCAGACTTTCAGGCTCTCCGATTGTCCTATTGTATGGACAGCAGCCTCAAGTTCATATCGGACATGAATGATGTCTATAAAACCATCAGTATGTAGCACAATGGTAGCTTTGGTTGTATAGAACTTGTAGAGTTTACCATGAGCATGTGAACCTCCAATACGTATTAGCTGTGGTTTTATAGAAATAGTAAATTTTACCTCAGAATGTCAATCTATATGTGCTAGCTGTGGTTTTATAGAAATAGTAAATTTTACCTCAGAATGTCAATCTATATGTGTTAGCTGTGGATATGTAGAAATAGTAAATCTGATTTTGTTTTAAACATATTTATCTTAAAACTCGTAAGGAATAGGACACAAGTTATGACTGATATTTGACCTATTCTAGCAAATGATTACAGAATGAATCGGTATAATTACTATTGGTTTTATAATCAGTATGATTACATATAAATTGTGACTTTTACCATCAGAATTCCTGTAAATAGTTTTCCTTATACCATGATCAGTTATAAAGTATATTTTTATGTCTGCTGGGCAATATATTGGAAACCATATCCATTTTGTCTTGTCCTGTTCCAAATCAATGTCATATCTTGAGATCTTGAGAAGTTCTCAGGAGATTAGTTCATACATGATTTCTCCAACATGTTACAACATCAACTTCTACACCTTATCATGTTAAGGTGGTCATCCATCAAGGTTGAAGAGTCAAAGATCACATCTGACAGCCATTCCAAATTCATATAACAATGGTACTCATACATATGAGTGCAAAGCACTCATATCATGCAGACATTTTCTAGTTTAATGGACCTGTTAAACTGCCTGCCTTAGAATCACTGGCCATTGATGTCACAATGATGTTGAAAGTGCTGCGTAAATTTGTTAGACCTATATAGATATAGGAATTTTGTAAATCAAATGACACATTTTGATGACAATATTGTAACAGATAGCTTTCAGCCTCCTTAACAATAAATTGGTTTCTCAGCTCTGTCACAATGAATATAGCCAAGTTTTGTACAGGTTACTTCTTGACGTGTATAATGTTTGTTTTATAAATAATATCACAAATTTGAATTTTGATGAAAGGCGTTTGATCCACATTTATATCTTGATAGTCATAGTGATCATTTTTATTTTATAGAAAGCTGTTTTTGTTTTGTTTTTGTTTTTTTGTTTTTTGTCTTTTTTATTTTAGAGTGTGATGTTTCAATGGGTACATGTATACCATTATTTTTATTTTCAATATACTTAATTATAGCATGTGCATTACATCTAAATGCTTGTGTTGTATCCTACTTTCAACTGTCTATTTCCATTAGGAGAACGGCACTCTCTCAACTGGAGATCGACAAAACAATATGTAATATTTCACAGCACTTTCAAAACAAGATATCATAAACATGAAACAATCCTTTCATCACTTGGGGAATATTTGACAAGGTTTTTGTATATCTCCATGATTGATAATCATCAAAATTTAAATCTAAATGTGACAAATTTCTTGCGGAAATTGAGCACTGCAAGGGAAAGAACTCATCACTGCAAACATATGATCATAGGTTGGTGACAAATTGCAGTTAAAAACATTGAAAAAAAAACACTTTAAAAGAAACCTCGCATAAAATAAAACTAAGATTGTCAAATCAATGTTAGTTAGAGTTTGGGTTAATAACAAAATATATCAGGAAACAAATTACATTAATTTTGTGAAATAACATGAAACTTTGTTTGTTTTGTGTCATTTTTCTGGAAAACACCCATTCAACAATGCTAAAATATGTTAAAATTTATTGTTTCTTTATATATTGATTCATGCTTAAAATGATGGAAGTGTTGACAATGTAGCACAGTAGGATGTAATACTGTTCATTGTGAATTATGTTATATATCTCATTCGCTATAGGGAAACAAGATATTGTTTATATAGGTGTCTAAGAGAAACTATTAGCCTTACTTTTCTTATTGTCCTCAATGTCCCTTCCCTATACAAGTCATAGAGTTTGTCAATATAATGTGCTATAATTCTAATCCTTTCTTATTGTCTTTCTATCATTATAAACTTACGAATATCCTTTTTGATAAGCAGTTTAATAACTAATTTATATAAGGCTTTATATGTTTTAATTTGAGATAATCAGCATCAATCGTGAGTGACTTTAACATTTTAACATTGACATCTGTCAATAACAGGACAAATCCAACTGTTAGATACCTTAACCAACCACCTCCCTTTGGATTGGTGAAAGTTTTCATGTACAAATCTACAATTATTGTAACAACTACAAATTATCTAAAAGATATCAGCAGGTGATTCGAAGTAAGGACATATCAATTATTATCTAAGAAAGATCTGAAGTTATTTCAAATATTAAGAAGGTTTGGTGATCAAGAAAAATCTAAAGTCATCAACGAATTATTGTAGTTACTTACATACAACAATTGAAATACTAAAGCCGTACCAATCAAGGCTGGTTTAGCAAATAGTTGCACTTCAGTATCTGGATACTGGAAGAGAAAAAAATGCATGCATGCACGTTGGAATGTTGGGACTTCATCGTCCCACCAGACAGAGAAGTCTTCAACTATATTCAGAGTCTGTATAGCACAGTTATTGTATACACCATTGGCTTTATGGCATATTATTGTTTGTATTTGCAGCAAGATTGAATTTCTGCTTCTGATGCAAAGAGAAAATATTTGTCTATATCTATAATCCATTAAAGGTTACAGTTTGCAATAAATTGTACAATTCTTTACAGCATATTATTTAGGAATATTGATGTAGTTTGCTCAAATTCTAGGCCTGAAAATCTATAAAAATATTAAATTCACGTTCCTCTATATTTTCTCATTTTATTTCTAATTTTGAGATTATAGGGACAAAACATACTTGAACATTGTATAACTTTGGAAACAATTTTATACAGTCTTGTATGATTTTTTTTTCCTTTCTCTCTTCACTTTTGATAATTGCAGAATGGTTGCATTTAACTCTTGATGGCAATGATGACAATTTCAATGAAACATCTGATGTTGGTGAGATAAAAATTACAGATATTGGTCAAGGTCATAATCAGTACATTACAGGGTCAAGGTCAATATCACATGTAGTTAGTTTGGTAACAGGAGTAAAGTTCAAGGACACTTTATAAATGATCACTGACAGACTGTAGAATAGATTGAAAATCCTGTGTCATATGTCAATTCTAAGGTTTTAATATTTTGATCAATCTTATTAACATGTAGAGTGCTATACCAGGGCTAACAATTCTCTGATATCTAACACAGTGACTCAGAATTCGCTACACTGAACTAGAATTGATAAAGTGGTGAAGGATAAATAATCTCGTCATATATCTTCTTCATTCTTATTTTCATTTGATTTTGATCAGATAAATGTATGAAGAAACTTTTGTGAGAGTTGGGCAGTTTTTGATTGATGCACGCTTTATGGATATGAGATCAGTGGACACTTCATATGGGAGACAACTCTGTTTGACTCACAGGCACTTCTGTGACCTCCTGTTTCAGGACTGAATTCCTGCATATGTCCTAAATATCCAGTAGCATGTCAATTGCTTATGTTTTCCAAAATGCAGTTGTATTTGTTACAGAAAACATACTTGGTTAATCTGTATGTTATCTAGATTTTTTATGAAAACATTTGAAGGGTAAAATAAAAACATTGGAAATTTATTAGGTTACAAACTTCAATAATACTTTATATTTGTAAGTGATAAACTCAACTGGTGATATCAAGATAAACTACTTTCATTACTAGCCAGTTAGATGAACTCAAGATCAATATAAGAAATTATAATTCTTTTTTCCACTTTTCATGTTCGGACTTTTGAAAGACTCGCATATGAAAGCAGATTTCCATATTGATTTTTTTTTGTGAAATGAAGCTATGATTAATGTGTGTTGATATATTCTCTCCAATTATTACACAATGTAGCTGACTTTTCTGTTGGAGAAAAAGCAAATACAATAAACATCAAAAGGGATTTAAGTTGAAAATTGACCAATCAAAGAGCAATACATTTGTGACTTCCTTTGATGACTAGTGAATGTTATGAGGTAACCAAGCACCCACATGTTGTTAGTATGATGGATGTACAGCCATTCATAAAGCTTTCCATTAATTGATTTGTATCTGCTTGAGTATTAGTTAAACAAATAAAAGAAGAAATTGTTTAACATTATGCATAATATGTTTATTATCATAGATCATAAGGCAGACTCAAGCCCAAGTTCATGTAGATCAAGTTAATTTATTATAAATATTTTATATTCTTTACTGTTTAAGTCATCAATTAAATCAGCGAAGTACTTTAACAAAATTGTAGTCCTTTTTTGTTTCCTTTTTTTTACACAGAACAAACTACAACATATGATCGAACTGGTCGAACTGCATACATTGAGGGCTGTAAAAAAATGGGCGTGGTTCCTGCCTCCTATTTCCTACGCCACATGCATGACCCTAACCTCAGTATGAAGCACCATGGGCTTGGATCTATGGGCATGAAACCGATAGCAATGTCTCTCATGGTAAAGTAGACAAAAATGAAAGGGACAATGTCCAATGAGCAAATATCTTTTGTGTTGTATAAATTTCTAAGAACGAATTGATAATATTTTAGCACATCTTTATTCACTATGTGATTTTAGAAACATTCATTTGTATGGGTATATGTTAGTAGATGTAAAACTTCATTGCCATAAAGAACACTAGTTATCTCCCTTTGTACTGTTATTACATTTATATTTCATAATGTTTTGTATGATAATGTAAGTGTTATAAATTCTCTCCATTATGTTAAGACCAACACACAGATTGTGAAGCTGGACCTGAGTGATAACTGGCTGGGCCATCAAGGAGGACTGGCTGTGTGTGAGATGCTCAAGGAAAACTGCTTCATCACCTTCCTGGTGGGTATAAGCAAGTGTTGCTATATACAGATGGTCAGTATAGTGATTGTATTTAATGTTGAATGGCCCATCAACAGATTCACTTGTTTTGTTTTGTTTTTGCTTCTTTTTTAATATTTTTTTTTGTTTCTTGTTTTTGTTTTGTTCATAAACTTCAACTATTGTGAAACAAGTTATTCCAGCTTATATTAAACACTTTTGTTGGTTCTGATGGAAGCTATCAGGATTCTCACAGTGCGAGGAAACTGGAGTACCCAGGGAAATCCTAGGTGAATGGCAAATGACCCCATACTTTTTCACATCTGTATGGGAATCCAACCGCGGATGCCTATGTGAAAGGCTAGTGAGATACCACTGGGTTACATGACTATCTCTTTCACGTATACAATTGAAAGCCAGTGACAGTTCACAAGTTCAACACTCGACTGGCTGTTTTATGGAGAATGTGCCTGATGGGTACAAATGTCCTGGTCATGAAACTGGTGGGTACACATATCTTGGTCATGTGACTGGTGGGTACACATGTCTTGGTCATGTGACTGGTGGGTACACATGTCTTGGTCATGTGACTGGTGGGTACACATGTTTTGATCATGTGACTGGTGAGTACACATGTCTTGGTCATTTGACTTGTGGGTACACGTCTTGGTCATGTGACTGGTGGGTACACATGTCTTGGTCATGTGACTTGTGGGTACACAAGGTTCTGGACACTGATCATGAGATTGGTGTGTTTACAAGGTCCAGGTTTGGACTGGTGGTACACAGTGTCCTGGTCTGGACTGGTGGTACACAGGGTCCTGGTCATGTGATTGGTAGGTACACAGGGTCCTGGTCATGTGATTGGTAGGTACACAGGGTCCTGGTCATGTGATTGGTAGGTATACAAGGTCCTGGTCATGTGATTGGTAGGTATATAAGGTCCTGGTCATGTGATTGGTAGGTACACAGGGTCCTGGTCATGTGATTGGTATGTACACAAGGTTTTGGTCATGTGATTGGTAGGTATGATTTGGTGATTGGTTCATTTTGTTACTTTGACCTATTATCACACTAAACATTTACACATGAGGTTAATTTCTCTGTTACAGGATATATCAGACAATAAATTTGGTCCTCACATGGCAGACCACCTAGGTAAAATTCTGAATGCTAACTCCACGCTGACACACATCATACTGGCTGGTAAGTATAAGAAAGCCCACAGGTTTGTAACACATTACACAGTGATCCATATGCTAATTTAACCATTAAAAGTCAATCTCAGTCAGTCGAATGATTGTTGACACTGTTTCACAAGATCAATATAAATAAATGTCTTTTTTTCTATTATATCCTTCAGAGTGGTCAGTAGACTCACTAAACTAATGTATTGTGTTAATGTATTCTGGGTTTTGTCTCTGTAGGTAATGACTTTGATGACACAGCAGCACTGGCCTTTGCAGATGTAATCATGGTAAGGACTACACTGCCTTTCTCTGTACTGTGACTATACTTCTGCTGGTAAACACATGTATAGTGATTTGATGTGTTTATTTGGCTACAACATCACTTTATTGAACTTTTTTTACACATGAAAAAAGCATGTCCCAATGAAGATTGGTTTTAGATGCATTTTTGTAAACAAAACTCTTTATATTAAACAAATTAATTCTTTTGATGTCAAACTTTGTGTTAGGAAATGTGTATTTAGTATTGTATAATAATGTAGTATATGAGGTAATGATTTACCTTGGGTGAAATTTCTTCTAAGAACAAATATAACTGAATCAGGACATATTAAGTCTTATAGAATAACTTTAGAAGGTGTACATTGTAATCAAATCTGATTGTCCTGATTTTTATCTGAATGAGTCACTTTGATTATATGTCTTCCTTTCTAGAATACGACAAAGATAGAGTATTTGAATTTGAGTCGGAATGTGTTTGGAGAATTAGGGGGTATGGTATTAGGACCTGCCATTGCCGAGAACAGCTCGCTCAAGGAACTTGACCTCAGCTGGAATTCTCTACGAAGGAAGGGTGCTATATCTGTCGCACAGGGAATTAAGGTAGCCTTTCGGAAATAGTACAGTATTGTACTCATAGCCAGTATCCATACATAGTGCATTGCTTTATAATGAATCAATATATACCCTTCTGCAGTCCAAGAGTTATCACGTAGAATTCCTGTACATTTATGTTACAGTACTATACCCTTAACTCTTTGGTCTGATTCCCAGTGGTTAGTCAGATTGAAAAAAAATTGATGTGACTTCAGTTTTCTTTCTATCTTTCTTAAAATCTTTGACATTATAAAAAACATCAAAGTTACATCAATTATGGCTATTATAACATTAATTATTGGTGATTCCACTGAATTGATATTTGAAGACTTATTAATGAAAAGCATTCTGTAAAGCATGATGATATGCCTTAGAACTTAAGTTCTTAATATTTACACTTCAGCATAATATATACATGAAGAAAGTCAATCTGTCATGGAATGGGTTTGGACTGGATGGGTCTGTAGCAATGTGTGATGCCCTGAAGAACAACCAGACCCTGGAGGAATTAGATTTAACGTGAGTTATGACAGCATCAGAGGATTTCCATACAACTTATCCTTTGTAATTCTATTTTGTCTACTAGATCAGTTTATTGTTAGTACATTGTACATTTTTAAGGAGATATTATTGGAGACTTGTACTCTTTATTGTATTTACCTTAGGATAACAACATGTTGGTTGATGTGGATAAAGATTTAAACCATGCTTATATAAAATATATACAATGTATGTCCTTGAGCAAGTCTAATCTCCATGCATTTTTATCAATAAATACAGACATTGGGGTTGGTAAGCTTCATTTGGAGAAAGTGCAATGCAATTGTAAATAGTTTTATTGTTCAGTGAGACATATAAGGAGTTAATCACCTTCTTGACTATATGACTTTCTCTATAGTTATTTTCTATATTTTTGTATAATAAAAGATAGAGAAAAATCTGTCATAGGACTGAGATAACATATTAAATCCAAATTCACAACATTATGTTATTGTTTGTTGTATACGTAATGAAATTATTTTGGCAGGAATAACCGGATAACTGCTGAGGGTGCTGTGATATTAGGAAAAGGACTGTCTGTGAATGAAACTCTAATTTCTCTAAAGGTTTGTATACTCGTTATGTAAGTGATTTAACACTATTTGTTTTATAATAAAGTTAGCAATTTAACAGAAATCTTTTTTCATGAAGCAATTTTATGAACTTAATGACAAAAATTTGTATTGAATGATGACATAGGATTGGTTCTATTGTCTTATCTTCCATATGAGATATTATTGAAAGACATAGAAACAAAAGTGTGTTTATCATCTGATTTAAAAGATCTAGAACTTTTTGCGGTTTAGAAAATCTCAATGTTTCATAAAAAAATGTGTTTTAGATAATTTGTAAATCACCAGAAATTTTTATTTCTAAACATTTCCAAGAAAGTAGTTTAAAAAGAAAAAGAATTAACTTGCATGGTCTGATACCTGTACTATTTCTGTTACAGATGGGTAAAAACCCAATGCAGAGTGCAGGATGTTATGGTATCTGTGCTGCCATTTTACGCAATCCTAATAGTATATTAAAGGAATTAGACTTTTCTGTAAGTAACATCACCACAAATGTATCTGCTTCTGTCTGTTATCAGTCATTATAAAGAAGGGACATATCATGTACAACAACATAATGTTAAATTATTGGTGATTAATGAAAAGAGATACCACATTTTCTCGAGCTATTTGTGTACCCTGGAAGATCATTCTGTGATATCTTAACTGTCTCTTTTGATTCTGTTTAAGTTATTGTTGTTGTTTTACAATCATTCACTCTTTTCTTTTGAACAATAAGGTAATACTACTTGTGTTCTTTATTATTTTCTTTCAGGATATTCTTGTAAACAATGATTTCAATGACATTTACAAACAAGTACAAGAGCAGTGCCCTGATATGAAATTAAAACATGGAGGAATGGAACCCCCTAAAAAACCAAAGAAGCCAGTCCATCCGATGGTTAAACTAGCCAACTATATACAGAAAAATAACCTTAGACTTGTGGATTTCTTCAATAAGTTTGATAAGGATGGAAGTATGAGTGTAACTTACGAAGAGTTCCAGCAGGGAATAGAGGTAAATTGTATACCACTGAAGGTGTAGTATCCTTACTTGTCAAGTTCTGATATTGCTACAGGTCTTGTAGGATATACTACAGTTTCCTGGAAAACAGATTAAGGATATATGAAGAATTCAAGTTTTATGTAAAAGTAGTAAAATGATCTGACATCATAATCATGGTAAATTCATATTCAACAGGATCCAAAACCTCACAGGATTTAGAGTAAACCCCCTACCCTATAATTTCCACTCATATTATATAGTGAACCAATTCTTGTATTTGATGTTCAACTCCAGTGTGCGAAGTTTGCATTAAACCGCCTCTGTGTTGGTCCAAACAAGGTAACTAATGTTAGGTGTTGTATATTGTGAAATCAACAAGGAGGAAAAACTGAGTAATATTGCACAAATAAGTGTAATTCATGAAAAATATATTGACTTACTTGTTCATTATCATGGACTCATGCTGTTGTCCTGTCACCGAAATACATTATTTTCGTTGCCTCATTGTGTTGTCATGTCACAGAATACTTCACATTCATTGGCTCTTTGTGTTGTTATGTCATCAAAATACTGTATAGTCATTGGCTCATTGTCTTGTCTTGAATTACCAACCACAGAAATCCAGAATATTGTGGATGTAAGCAATGACTAATTTATTACTATAAATGTGTGCAGGTGTTGTATCAGAGATGGTAGATGTTTATTATACTTATGAAAATTCTCTTTATCATTGTCTCAGAAATATTTCTAAAATCCTAGCATATACTTTCTGACACAAGATTTTAACAATGACACATTTTTCCTGTTTTAGGCGTTACTTATATAATGAGACATCATATGTAAAGTAGGTTTTACCTTGTTGAGTGGTATTTTAACATTTATGATATGGCTGCATTAATGTAATATTGGTTGGGTGTATTTACATTTGGTCAGTGGCCCAATTATTTAAATTCTGTATTTTCAGTCATGATAGCACAACATAAATTGATACTATATTCATTGTGAGATCTCAATGGTTATCTTGGCATTCTGTGCTGATTTAGCTGTTCTTTAAGTAAATTAATACCTCCTGATAAGAATGTATATTTAAATTAAAACAGAAATGACCTTAATCCAAAATGTAGATACTGAACTGGACTAATTTGACTGGTATTCTGTCATTGCTGCATCAGGTGTCACATACCAACTGATTGTTTGTATTCAGCTGCATGGTGTTGATTTTACTTACAATGTATAAAAGACAAAATAATCAAGTACAATGTAGTCTTCAATGTGACCAAAATAGTATTATAATGGATGATTTTGTATAATTTACCATGATCAAAAAAAAAAAAAAAAAAAAATTAGTATCACCCAGGTAAATGGAAAACAATCCACCTGTCATTTTGGGTTTTTATTATGAAATATTCTAAGCATATTTATGATAGTAAAACAGGACAAATCTGAATGAAATAGGTGTAAGTCTTATATAATAATCATTGGGATTATTTTGGTGTGGAGCCCTTAATTGCTGTAACTATTACTGACATTTGGCTTACTAATCTGTACTGGCTGCATGTGTTGGACAATAATCTAGGGAACAACATGGCTTGGTTTTATTTTTATCTATTAAGGGTTGGTTGGTATATTCTAAATGTATAGTTATCATTGGGATCAATGGGACGAAACATCACATCTAATTTTTTGTATATATTAAAAAAGTCAAAATGTGTGATTGATTTGCTTTGACATAACTTTTGAATATGAAAAATATGATTTCATTTACAAAATTATCTCCCTTTGTCATATCTTTTGACTGTTGGGCCACAAATATTATCTACAAATGAAGAAAAGATAATGAATATACGAATATGAAAGTCAAAACAGTTTAGAAATTGGAAAATATTAGTTTTTGTATTTTGCAATACATATATAATTGATTACCACTATTAAATTTCATGCTGATTTTTAGTGTAATATTTTGCATCAAGCACTGTTTTGATAGCAATAATTGAGATATGTGATCATTTGTTAATAGGAAACAGGTATCAAACTGACAAGTGATGAAGTCAGTCAGCTCCTACTGGAGCTGGACAGTGATGGTGATGGTGAAATCAACTACAGGTAAGAGACACTTCTTGTACAGAGCTGTTTGGGAGGCATGATACTTATATAGCTTTAATACCTATAGTGTCACAGTACTGTGTAGACTACTGCCACAGTGGCTATTCTTTTGGAAATAGTTGTGAAACTATAAGTTAGTTTGATTGAGAGGTTTGATTTTTTGACTGGTCAGTATGTGCAGTCAGTATATGGCCAAGGTGTTATTGGTTTCTTTGATCATTGTGGTATTGCCCGAGTGTCTTTGTTCATTGTGGTATTGCCCGAGTGTCTTTGTTCATTGTGGTATTGCCCGAGTGTCTTTGTTCATTGTGGTATTGCCCGAGTGTCTTTGATCATTGTGGTATTGCCCGAGTGTCTTTGTTCATTGTGGTTTGGTCTGAGTGTCTCTGTTCATTGTGGTTTGGCCCGAGTGTCTTTGATCACTATGGCATTGCCTGAATGTCTTTGGTCACTATGGTAAGGTCTGATTGTCATGGTGATATGGCCCTAACTGTCTTCAGTCACTTTGGTACAACCTGAGATTCTTTGGTTACCATACTAAATGTCTTTGGTCACTGTGGTATGGTCTGAGTGTCTTTGGTCACTGTGGTATGACCCTAACTGTCTTCATTCACTGTGGTACCAACCTTGCCTCTTTGATTGATGTGGTAGGGCCCAAGTATTTTTGGGCATAGTGGTAGTGCTGGAGTGTCTGTAGTCACCATGTTACAGTTCAAATGTCTTTGGTCACCATGGTATGGCCTGATTGTCTTTGATAACCTTGCCACAGCCCAAGTGTCTCTAGTTACTGTGGTATAGCCTAAGTGTCTTTGATCACTGTATTAAGGCCTGAGTGTTTTGGTCATCATGCAACAGCCCAAGTGTCTTTAGTTACTGTGGTATAGCTTAAGTGCCTTAATCACTGTATTAAGGTCTGAGTGTCTTTAGTCATCTCCCTACAGACCAAGTGTCTCTAGTTATTGTGGTATAGCTTAAGTGTCTTAATCACTGTATTAAGGTCTGAGTGTCTTTAGTCATCTCCCTACAGACCAAGTGTCTCTAGTTATTGTATAGCTTAAGTGTCTTAATCACTGTATTAAGGTCTGAGTGTCTTTAGTCATCTCCCTACAGACCAAGTGTCTCTAGTTATAACTGTGGTATAGCTTAAGTGTCTTAATCACTGTATTAAGGTCTGAGTGTCTTTAGTCATCTCCCTACAGACCAAGTGTCTCTAGTTATTGTGGTATAGCTTAAGTGTCTTAATCACTGTATTAAGGTCTGAGTGTCTTTAGTCATCTCCCTACAGACCAAGTGTCTCTAGTTACTGTGGTATAGCTTAAGTGTCTTAATCACTGTATTAAGGTCTGAGTGTCTTTAGTCATCTCCCTACAGACCAAGTGTCTCTAGTTATTGTGGTATAGCTTAAGTGTCTTAATCACTGTATCTGCATGTTTTGTGACTCACAGGTAGATTAGATATGCTGGAGTCATAGCACCACTGTATTAAGTTGATAAATTATTGTGATATCATACCAGTATGTATGTGTACATAGAAATAGATATCTTCTCTTAAAATGAAGCCTTTCTTCTTTCTGAAATTAATTATATATTTATGCCTGCTTTTATTTTGCTAGCATTTTCATTTATTTATTTGTTTATATTTGTCTAGCATCTTTATTTTTGAATATATGTAATAGGACATTCTGTAAATATAAAAGCAACATTGGAGTAATAGAAACTTCGGCAACTTCTCTGCATGCTAACTTGTAATACTCTGTATTGCATCATTGGAAGCTTTTTAGTGAGTTAATATTATAATATTTAAGTCTAGCTTTTTAGAAGTCTATATAACAGTATAAAATAACCAGACATGGCCGGCGACAGTTCTGTTTCAGAAGTAGGCATGGTACCAGTGGCAGTGAGTATAGACACACCCCTATGATTATATAATAATATTAGATGCACTAACAAACAGGTGTGGGAACACTCAGAGGCACTAACAAACAGGTGTGGGAACACTCAGAGGCACTAAAAACAGGTGTGGGAACACCCAGAGGCACTAAAAACAGGTGTGGGAACACTCAGAGGCACTAACAAACAGGTGTGGGAATACTCAGAGGCACTAAAAACAGGTGTGGGAACACTCAGAGGAACTAACAAACAGGTGTGGGAACACTCAGAGGCACTAACAAACAGGTGTGGGAACACTCAGAGGCACTAACAAACAGGTGTGGGAACACTCAGAGGCACTAAAAAACAGGTGTGGGAACACTCAGAGGCACTAACAAACAGGTGTGGGAACACTCAGAGGCACTAACAAACAGGTGTGGGAACACTCAGAGGCACTAAAAACAGGTGTGGGAACACTCAGAGGCACTAAAAACAGGTGTGGGAACACTCAGAGGCACTAAAAACAGGTGTGGGAACACTCAGAGGAACTAACAAACAGGTGTGGGAACACTCAGAGGCACTAAAAACAGGTGTGAGAACACTCAGAGGCACTAACAAACAGGTGTGGGAACACTCAGAGGCACTAAAAACAGGTGTGGGAACACTCAGAGGCACTAACAAACAGGTGTGGGAATACTCAAAGACACTAAAAGATGTGTGGGAACACTCAGAGACACTAAAAACAGGTGTGAGAACACTCAGAGGCACTAAATACAGGTGTGGAAACACTCAGAGGAACTAAAAACAGGTGTGGGAACACTCAGAGGCACTAAAAACAGGTGTGGGAACACTCAGAGGAACTAACAAACAGGTGTGGGAACACTCAGAGGCACTAACAAACAGGTGTGGGAATACTCAAAGGCACTAAAAGAGGTGTGGGAATACTCAGAGACACTAAAAACAGGTGTGAGAATACTCAGAGGCACTAAAAACAGGTGTGAGAACACTCAGAAGCACTAAAAACAGGTGTGAGAACACTCAGAGGCACTAACAAACAGGTGTGGGAACACTCAGAGGCACTAAAAACAGGTGTGGGAATACTCAAAGGCACTAAAAACAGGGGGCACTAAAGACAGGTGTGGGAATACTCAAAGACACTAACAAACAGGTGTGGGAATACTCAAAGGCACTAACAAACAGGTGTGGGAACACTTAGAGGTATTAACATGCAAGTGTGGGAATACTGATAGACGCACAAACATACAGAGGTTAGAATACTCAGATAATGACACACAGGTGTTGGCATACACATGTCAAGAAATATGAGGTTTGGGAATACTCAAATAGTGACAAATACAGGTGTGAGGATACTCAGAAAATGATACACACAGTAAAGGGAGAAAGTGTGAAACAGTTGTAGGCATACTTAGATGGTGACACACAGATGTGAGGTTACTCAGATATTGACACAAGTATGTATGAATACTCGTATAGTGATACACAAATGTGAGGATGCTTAGATTGTGATACATGTGTGGGAATATTTAGCAAGAGGCACTAACACACAGGTGAGGGGATACTCGGATTATGATACACAGGTGTAAGGGAAAATCAGATAGTGACACACAGATGTTGAGATACTCAGATAATGACACTCAGGTGTGAGGATACAAAAACAATGACATACACCTGTGTGAAGATATTCAAATAGTTACACATTCGGATGTGGGGATATTCAGATTGTGACACACATGTATGTGAATACTAGATAGTGATACACATGTGTGAATACTCCGATTGTGACACATGTGTGTGAATACCCAGATTGTGACACACGTGTGTGAATACTCAGATAGTGACATGTGTGTGAATACACCGATAGTGACACACATGTGTATGAATACTCAGATTGTGACACACATGTGTATGAATACTCATATAGTGACAGAAATTTGTGTGTGAATACTAGATAATGATACACAGAAATAAGAATATGTAGATAATGACACACACAGGTGTGGGGTTACTCACATTGTGACACAAACAGGTGTGGGGATACTCATATTGTGACACAAGCAGGTATAGGAATATTCTCAGATAGTGACACAAGCTGGTGTTGGGATACTCATATTGTGACAAAAGCAGGTATAGGAATATTCTCAGATAGTGACACAAGCTGGTGTTGGGATACTCATATTGTGACAAAAGCAGGTATAGGAATATTCTCAGATAGTGACACAAGCTGGTGTTGGGATACTTAAGATAGAGGCACTAACTTATAGAATTAGTGGCGTATGTGCTCTAACACTATGCTTACAATATATTTAACTAATAATTGGCTTCAAAAAGAACAGTAAACAAAAAAGTCTTTATGTGAAAGTGTACATGTTCTTATTTGCTTATGCAAAATTTTCTTTTAGGCATAAAAAGCACCAAATGATAAGTGGAGTAAGACACCAGTTGATCAATCCCATTATATCTCTTGTATAACCATTAATTTTGTTCCTTCATAAGATTAATGATGCAATATTATTAAGTCTGTTATTTATATTATAATCTTCACAAAATCATTTTTCATGAACAATTCAGTTTTGATAATACAGTGATAAATCTACATGTAAATCCTAAGTTCTGTACTCATAAAATTTTGATGGAACTGGAGAAAATTCTGGAGATGCTTAAATTTTACAATGTAGAACCCATTTTTTTTTAGCAATAAAGTTGAAAAGAACTGAAGAACATCAATTCTAGATTGATCACTGTAATCTTCATACTGACATTATATTGATTGTTAAATTCTCCCTCAAGCTTGGAGATACAATTTCACATGAAACATAACTATCCATCATTACAGAATATCTACATACTTAAATTGTTCAATGTATCTGTGAAAAATCTGTTTTAAAAACAACTAAGCAGAAAGTGATCAAAAAGAAATAATTGCTGTTGTAAATTGAAGTTGGTTAGGTTTGAAATACTTAAACATATACAATGTACATAAAAAAAGGCAACTCTAAAACCTGTGTTTTTAATTTATCTGTACTATTTGGTTTAATGGGATTGATAAATTATCTCCCCTTGGCCTTTCAATGCCCATATTCACCTCGGTAAAACCATGAGTGCTTGCTCCCGTCTCTTCAGATCAAATTGCATTAAATCATCCATGTATGATGCTTTTGTTTTTTCTTCTGCACATTTGTTTTCCCGATAAATTGTGTCCCGACCAGTTCCTATTGCTTTATAAACAACCTGTGTGGCTAGCTATTGCATATTGGACAACATATAGAAAGGGAGTGGTAATTACTGAAAGGTCCTTGATTTTAATACAGTACTGATTTAATGTGATTACAGATATATATTTATTTGTTATATTTGATAAAGTAGATACAAGAACACCAGTCACAGACTGTATTGTTCATTTAAATAGATCGATGTTTATTCTGATAAAACCTACATCTCATTACGTGTAGTCCTGGCAGTTTGTCATTTTATTCAATAACTAAAAACCCATCTTTAATAAATAAAAATAGTCACTAAAATCGAAAGTGTTTGTGATTTTTTTTTTTTCACATATTATAAAGATATGAGGTCACACACATGCTTGAGAACTTGAATTGTTACATACTTTTCTTTGTTCCAGTTACTTTAATAGATGTGACAATTTTGATAAATTAAAATTGCTTCTTTTTTCACACTGCACCTAGTTCAATGACACCAAATAAAATTTCAAATTGTATAACATATTCTCTATCAAATAAAAAGCAACACTTGAAATAGGATTTAACATTAAATTGACTTAAAGGATATTCTACATGGAACATATTTAATTGTTAAAGACATTCTTCTGTTTTTACTTGATTATGATATTAATTTATTCCTGTTTTGTTGTTACATTATAAGATGTATTACCTACAGTATTATATCAATAATATGGGAACCTTTCCACTTTCTAATGAACCTATCCTCTATCCAGTAGACATACCCACTATCCAGTGAACCTTCCCACTACCCAGTGAACCTTCCCACTTTTCACTTTCCAGTAAACCTTTCTACTGTTCAGTATCCAATGAACCTTTCCACTATCCACTATCCAGTGAACTTATTCACTATCCTGTGAACCTATTCACTATCCTTTGAACCTATTTACTATCCTGTGAACTTATTCACTATCCTTTGAACCTGTCCACTATCCTGTGAACCTATTCACTATCCAGTGAACCTTTCCACTATTCACTATCCTGTGAACCTATTCACTATTCAGTAAACCTATCTACTGTCTTGTGATCCTGTGAGCCCTTCCACTATCCACTATCCTGTGAACCATTCCACTTTCCACTATCTGGTGAATCTTCCCACTGTCATCTATCTAGTGCACCTTTCCACTATCCAGTGAAGTTTCCCTCTATCCACTGATTAATGCAACAAGTTAAATGTTCTTTTTGTACCAAATTGTTAGTGTTTAAGACCTCTGCCGACTTTTCCCATTTTGCTTGGAACTAGGTGGTCTTATCATCATAGTCCAACTACAAAGTTATTCAAGTTCATGTTCTACATCAGCTCACTAACTCTTGTTGAATTTGTTAGTTTCACTTTTATAAGGAACATGCAACATTACTTTATAACCTGGTAGATTCAATTTATCAAATACCTGAGAGGGTAATAATGAGATCCAACATAAGCTAATCTGAGGATAACTTAAGTAAAATGTTTACAACTGTCTTTGATTGTATTACAGTGAACTAGTGATCGGTCACACAGGATTCCAGGAGCAGCAGGACTCCATCAACACCATCCTGACCGCCACCCAACCGCGGCCAATGACTACTTAGTACTGGATCAGTCATCCACCATTAAATTTCACCATAACCTAGTGGACCTGCAGGGAATAGTGATATGACACAGTCACATAGTCATTAATGGGACTGAAGGTCATTACTGACTAAGGTCAGCATCATCTTGACCCCTGTGATCTTCATTCTGTTGACAGCATTACCTATCACTTGTAGATAGTTTTAGAAGGATGATGAGAATTGACTAACCTGAACCGATAAAAACACTGTGTGACAGACAAGAGGCAACTTCAAGGAAACATATGAATACAATTAATAAAAGATATTGTGAGGATCTTTTTTGGAAAAGATGTACTAAATGTTTTGCAATGATAAAATGATATTTCTGTGTAAAAAGTTGAGAGTTCTGGTCACCTTTTGTCATTATACCTTCCAATTACATAAGGAAGACAAAGAGGATTTACAGTCATCATTAAATTAGCTTGATAGTTTAGCTCATATTAGTATTAAGTCAGTGGTTAAATTCATTGATTGTGAAAAAGCATTGCATCTCAACACAGATATATCACATCTTTCATTTGAACTTTCATTTTAGGTCCCAGTGTCAGTGATATTACCATCATGCTATGTCTTAAAGCCTGTTAACAGTAATGAACTGAGTTATTTTACTGGCTTTTTACAGCATTAATTAAGAGATATCTGTTTGAAAGGTAAAAGTGTATAGCACAGTAGGTTAAATGTTTAATATTATGGTTGAAATGATTTTGGTCATGTGTTTTGACGAATAATATCATGAGGACATCAACTTCATAACATAACTTGCTATCAGTATAACCAGTCTTTGCTATACTAGAGAATATGCCTCAAGTGTGACAAATCATTTTAGTAACACTGCATCAGTAGCTGAGCCATGTAACATTCAGACAAATTTGTTTCTTATAATGAGTGTATAGTAAGCTATGTATGCATCCATTTAATAATATATTATAACCCTATTTAAAGTTTTGTAAATTCTAGGATGAAACAGCAGATTTCCTGTAGCTGGTGACATTCTTAATACCCATCATCTATACCAAATCACTATAGCTCGCTGTTTTACCCAGGTTTTAAACATCTGCAGATACAGACTGTATACTATGTAGATATGTCATCTATGATAATATCTGTATTAACTTAGAGTAAGTACACATTTAATGCTTTGTACCCATTTATTCACCCTCTACACAGAAGGAAAAACATGCTGAGTTCAATAATAGCAAACATATCCTTACACAGTATATATTGTAGTATGACATGCTCCACAAATCTGTATCACAGTGTACATTATGTATATAATCCTGAGCAATAAGTCGACAGACACCAACACTTACTTTACTGAAATTCACTACTCTTCTTACCAAGTGCAATTCCAGTTGTTTTGGAACTTTGTGTTTTGGTTGATTTTGAACTTTTTCTTACTGCTGTGTTTAATTCTCTTACTTTTTCTAACTGTTTCAGTTGATTTTCATCGAGTGCAATAGGGTTATGAAACATGTAATTTTGTAGTGTGTTACAGATTTTCATTATGTTATGTCATACAGCTTCAGAAGTTTTCAAGTACATGTACCAGTATGTGTGATAAATATGTAAGGTAAAGGTTACCACTGCACAAGTTTGAATTCTAAAGAAGATTTTTAATGCACAGCTGTTAAAATCTCCATTTTATATGCAAAATAAAGCATCATTAAGTTGTTTTGTAACAGATTTACTGTACTTCTCTTGCTAAGGTAATCCTTATATTTAAACCTCCACCATTTTTTATATGATTATTTGATGGGATTAGCAGTTGACAGTCTGGTCTTTGAAATGTCCTTTTTCGGTGTTTACAATTTTTCCCAAATGTGTTGTACAGTTAGATAAAAACTAATGTGTTCTATGCAATGCTTTGCAAATTGTTTAAAGAACTGGCTTGTTTCACATAGGTGTGAATTTCAGTTACAAAATCATTTGACGTGGCTCTACTGATAGTGATTCAAAGCCAGGTAGTTCTGTCTTTATGCTGTCCTCCTTTATTTTAAAGCTTTTTGTAATGTACTTCTTTACAGTTTGATTTGTGCAATGCATTTTTTTAAAGAATCTTTTAAAATGTGTTACATTTACACAGCTGGTACATATCTACATTGTTGTACATTTTGTAAACATTGTACAAATTAAGATTGTACACATGGTATTTATTCTTAAGTGAAAATTTTAGGATTTGATTATAGAATTTCTATTCAAATTAATGTTTTACAGCAATATGATGAAGGCCCCTTTCAGTATTACACATCACAGTATTGCTTCAATGATCACAAGTCAGAAGGACATCCCAGTATCAGTATTGTGTGTACATAGCGGCTGACTCCTACTGCTGGCTGTAGTGTTAGCTGGCCTCTCCTGCTCTTGGCTAAAGTATATTACTAGCATTACAGTCAAAATTTGTGTGGTTTATTTTCTTATTGTTTTTTGACTAAATCTTTCACTATACTCGCTTATCTTTATATTTCTCTTTTCATTTCTCCTTTTTTTACTGATATTTCATTTTCAAAACCAAGTTTATGCTCTGATGAGCTTAAACTTGAAATCTTATACATGTATTAACAATGTTAAACAAATAAATGTAAACTAGAAAACAAGCAGATTAAAATTATTTTCAACCTACATGATAACATCCTTGAAATTATATAGCTGTTATCACATACATTTCTCTGCAGAAGAGATTACTTCTCTGTGGTGGAGATATAATTTATTGGGAATGTAACCTTTGGATTTCAAAGATGAACCCATGCTGCCATTTCTAGTTCAGTAGAAGGTTGTCAACATTACCTATGCTCCCATGTCTAGTGCAGTAGGAGGTTGTCAACAACTTGTTTACTGCCTAATTTATAAACAAACTTTAGTTACACCACCAGAAAAATCTTTTGTTATTATTCTATATGCACAATATTAGAACTAAAATTACATTTTTCACATATTTATGTGACATAAAACACAAAGCTTCATAAGAGGTCTTTTTGTTTGGACTTCCTGGCTGTTATAAACTTATTATATAGAAGGAGAGTTCTGGATATTTTGATTTTAATTTGTTGTTTGTAGCATCATTTGATCAGGTTACATTGTTCATCAAGGCCAAGTTTAGTGAACATTAATCTGTGATAATCATTGTTAGTTTGAAAGATGCTTTGTTAGAACAATTGTCAGTACTTATACTCTCCATCCATATCAAAATTATCACTGCACCAGTCAGGCTGTGAAAGTGTGATCCATGCTTGTAATTCATAGTAAGGTGTGAAAATTTAGAATTTGACATTTATAGCTATTGCTGGATTACTTACTGTGATATAAAGTGTTTATGTCTAATGGTTGTTCCTACTTATGTCTTAGTTTTACTTGTTTAGATATGGTCATCACTTATATATGTTTTGTAATAATAATTGATAATTTGTATATTTTGTAATTTTGTTTATTTATTATTGTTATATAACAAAGCATAGTTTATCAATCTTTTACCTGATGTTTGGTTTTATTTCACCATAGATTAGGAAGTCTTAGGCTGATTTTTTTAATGCAGCAATGTTATCATCAGACCATAACAGACGACCCTTTGGTTGTCACTTAGAATTATATTATCTTTATCATTTATTATTTAAACAAATTCAGACCTCAATTTTTCTCTCCTTACCATTGATGCATGATAGCTTTAATATTATGTGTAATATTGTAAATGTGTTTTCCTTTATTTCTGCAATATTTGCACTTGTATCATGTCATGTTGACGTTGAATAGCTTGTGTGTACATTAGAATCTATCTAAATTAAGCACGAAGGAAAAATAATACTAGTATACATGATAACTAAAATAATTTTTATATGGCCATAGCATGTTCTAACTGGTGACTATAAGCATGCTGTAAAGGTACGTGGAAATCTTATTTTAGCCCATTTTGTGCTGAAAGTATTGTGTTGAAGTAAGATGGCGCTCATCGTCACTTCTAGATGTTGTTTACATAGCTATTAATACTGACGCTAATTTGCCAAAATTGATAGTGCGCTAAGATTTGATTGTGCTAAGTTAAGTACACTTTATATCTTCACTTTCATTATTCTGATGAAAAGTTCAAAACTTCAGCAAAGTTGTTTCGCGTGGCTTTGTATAACCATTGCATGCAATGTAAAACAAAGAGGAAGTAAAGTTTATATTTATAAACAATATTAAGACTCTTCTGTTTTGATGTTTTGAATTTGCAGAGATAAATATTTGTAGTCTATGTGATTAGATATTCTGATGAAAATAGTGTAAATGTCTGCAGTCCCTGAGCCAACAAAGAACACCTATGACTAGAAAAAGATATGGGTTTGACATCTGACTTAATCAATTTCACTACAGCTTATTTGTTCTTGCGACTTGCACACTAATGACAAGAAAAACTGGTTTAACAAGAATACAAACTGTTGCTTGAAAAAAGTCATGCAAAATATGACTTTAAACAAATGTGATTCCTATGTTATTCACAACAACAACACAAACAAAATTCTTAAAAATCACTTTTTTACTGGCACCTAAAATATAGTATTAATAAAATAAGGTGACAGTTGACCTATAATAAATTGATAAGTAGCTGGTTAAAAACCAATCTGGTGTCCCACATTCCAGATATGATGCAATTATAAATTGGACAAGCATTATTTGATATAAATAACTGTCGAAAAATGCAGTGTTTCATTGCAAAAATGGATATCAAGTGCAATGGAAACCTCACACAAGATCGATAGCTTTACTTAATGTGGGACATAATCAGTCCATCTGCCTGGCTTCATTTCCTGAATGTGACTTCACTTGGCAGTCTATATACAACCATTTGTAGTGTTATCTACATATTCACATCATCTCGTCGCCTTCCTCCACATGTTTTAAGTTCAGCACTTCAAATTGCCCCTTTCCCTTTGTCCCTGATACCACTATATCATGGATCTCTCTGTAACAGCCTGGATCCACTAAGATCACCTGTCAAACAAGCACTACAAGGTTAACTTGCCTGTTCCACAGTGAAAAGCTATGTCTCCTTTATGATATGTTACTGTAATATTTAAATGTAAATGGCTTGGTAAGACATTGATAAAAACATGTGCAACCAATTTTTTTTGCAGTAGGTTTAACTGGTTCCTGAAAATTTACTGAATATCATCAATGTTCAACCTTTTGTTTAGGTACACCTTAAGACTCTTAACATATTGTCCAATGAAAAAATTGCAATTGTCTAATACCATCTAATAAGTATGGTCAATGTTTGGTGATTGCCACGCTATTATACAAGAAGCTGAACCCTAGTATATATTCAATAATTGCTTTAATAATTACCATTTCCAGATCATCATCAAATTCATCTTGTTCAACTGTTGTAGCAAGTTTCTTCACTTTTTCTCGAACTTTCTTCCCATCTTTTCCTTTAAGACAATCAACATGACATGAAACCATTAAGTGACCTAACAACCAGGAAGAGGTGGCCTTGACTTTAGATCATATGGAATCTCGATATAAAGAAAAATGGCCTTTAATCAGAGGATAATGTGATTTCTTCGATTCTGTCTAACATTTCCAGATTTCCTCAAGATCTGTGTATTATATGTATAGTACAGCAATGAAAAATCAAATCAGATTTTGATCTTGGGGGCAGATGTCTGAAATGTCCAAAATCTTAGACAATCAACTAACAAGAAAATGTCTCATATAAATGCCCCTCTTCTTATGTAAAACCACCCTGAGAGGTTTTTAATTATTGTATATATGATAGGACCTTGATTCAGAACAGGACTCAGCAGATGAACATAGGTAAGACTATATGCCCTCCCCTCTTAAATGACAGGGGTATATAAATCATTGGCATGCCAAAACACAGTAAAAAGTATCCAGTTTGAAATTTATATTGCATCATAGTTTAGAAATCTATGTCAACGTTCATGTTTTTAGTTTGGACTTACCAGGGACTGTGATCTTTAACTGCATGTGAGCTCTCTGTATGTTGATTGAATCTTTCTCTGTAAGCTGTTTTATTACTTCTAATGCCTGAAAACATCCAGAATTTTATGATGTTTTAAAACTAGCTCAACCATCTGTTAAAACAACCTGACTGTTCTACTTGACTACAATAACTGTGTAAGGTATGGTGGGACAAACTTCCCACAATGTTTTCATTCTGTGTTGTTGTTTATTGAATGATACCTTTCCTCATTGTTTACCAAAACCTAACATTTCTAAATTGCAAGCTAAATTGCAGGCTATAAGATTTCACTCCTTGAAAATAGGACATGAGGAAACTGAGCTTAAGCCATGGTAAAGATCAGTTGTCAGTTTGTATGGCATCAATTTTCCTGTTTAAGCAACATTTTCTCAATAACAAACGACTCATTTTGATGGCCAAGGGGGTTAAAATGTATTGAACATTCAATGAACTTCTTCTCAATAACCAACAAGCCCAGAGTACTGATAATGTGCCTGAAGCATATTTAGATGATGGGCTTACAAGTTAGTTAAAAAAAATGACCTAGACCTACTTTAAAGCTCATAAAATAATTAAACAACTACTGTTCAATAACAAACAGGTCCTGGGTTATGGTATTTATGTAGTAACTTGCTAGGAGAGTGAGCTCTCAGGTCTACATAAATAGACTAAACTGACTTCTTAAGCTGCAGCACAAGTGAGGCACATGGGGTACTCGATTGGAGTACACTGCCTTTATACACCTGAAAGTCAACTTGTAAATACTGTGTATTTTCTTTGGAAAATCACTTCACAACTTTCCCATTAAACAAGTGTATAGATGATAACCCAGTCCAGAATACATGTACATATATTTTTCTCCCACCTCTGCCCATGTAGGATAGACATGTCCCATGTGGAACACCCATGGAGGATAAATCTATCCCACATGACTGCACTCGGTGACCTCACTCGGCTATCACAACTGACTCAAACCAACGAGTGGATGCTTTGTTTGCAGGTTCCGTTATGCGCGAATGTAACATCACAGTTAACATTAACTATAACAATCCTTGTCCAGTGAACACAAATAAACGTCGGAGGATCATCTATGACTCTGATTCTGAATGAACACACGCGTGACACTCACACCATTGTAATTTTTCGCGCGCATAAACAATTGACGTTATTATAAATTGGGAAATCCCCTTTTTGTCCTCGACATCGCGACAAGCCTACCCTACCTTAATAAATGATACGGAGTTAAATGTTGTTCAATACAAGTATTTCCATGTATCTATCTCTAATTAAAATATTTAATTTCAAAAAATAAATATTTCTAATGGTTATTCATATTGCGTTTGTAGTCTGTCATTTTGCTCTCGCGGAATAATGTAGAATTTTGTAAACGTGAATGGTGATATTCATGCGCCATTCAGACACTTTTACCGTGGGATTTTTTTTTTTTGTCATGGCGGAAATAATGGGGTGGGAGAAAAATCTATCACACCCTCAGGGTAGGGGAAGATTCTATTAACAATCAATATCATTTAATATGTAATTCATAGATGACAAGATGACATCTATTTATAAACCTTCAGAGTTTGAATTGCTGTTATCCTACACAATTTAAGATAAAACTTTACAATTTTACACCCAACAAAAAAGACATCACTTCACCATAGTTTCAGAAACCATGGAACACGATGCATAAAAGTGAACCCACCTGCTGTTTTGTACTTCTTGTTGGTTTTACTGAGAAATGTATATCCTTCATAGCTGTTTCAATAAGTGTCACTGTATAGGGACGATTTGTGTCAGGGTTTACACACTTATCAGATACAATAGTAGCAATGTCTTTAAACATAGATTCCAGCTGTGCATGGCGTTCCTTTTCTGACACTTGCAGCTCTCCTTTAGCTATTATCTGTAAACAAACACAATCAAATTTTAACTTTCAAAATGTCAAAATGTGACTGAACAAAAGAGGCTAGACTGGATGCAGTAATTGAAATTCTATTAAAATTAAATGTAATTCAAATCAACAGAAACTTAACATTAGGGAGAGCAAAGATATATCTGTTACACTCAAACTTTCTAATCTTGAACTTGTACATCTTGAAGACTCCATTTAATTTGAAATATTTTGTCTGCCCGGAAAAACTTCACACCAAACATTTGATCTGCCCGGAAAAACTTCACACCAAACATTTGATCTCACATAAGTGTTGGACACATGTGATCATAACATACGTACAATTGGCTTTAATTTAATGATGCTTGCATATCATTGACAAAATTAACTAAAAAATATTTGTCACAGAATGTAATACCAGTTCACTACTTTTCTTCAACAAAGAACGTTTGTGATTGACTAATACCATGTGTGTTGGCATAAATATCAGCTGCAATATACTGTCTGCCTAGTGAGATATTCTCTTCAGCTCCATCAGTTGAGTGTATGACTAGTATGTAGTGCAAAGGTCAACAGTTAGATTCCTAACAGAGGCAATGTGATAAATAATGACCTAAACTACATTGGCATCCGTGTAGGAACCATAGAGGTATTGATGGAAAAACAAAAGCCTTGCTCCACATGCATTACCATTACCCTGGGAAATATAGAGGACAAGATCTCTTTAAGAGGAGGACCATGTAATCTTTGTCAATTCTAGCTGTAATACACTTATTTGGCAAATAACCACCTCTCTTTAGTTAAGTCAGTTGAATTAGGACTAGCAAACAGAATATGAATGTGTAAAATTTCCATCACTAATTGTTTTACAGCCTTATAAGTGTTACCTGTAGGCAGATCTCTGTTTGATTGTCTGTACCAAAGATCTTTTTCAGTTCCGCTGTTTTTGCCATTTCTCCCTTGGAAACATTTGTGAAAACGGTATGAGTTTGCAGTACTTCATCAATATCTGTTTCTCTGTGAACATTAAAAGATTTTAATCATTACTAAATTTCATGTTCAGTGCTGTTTTATACACGATCCCTCTTGAATTATATCAGTTGAGCCAGAGTAAATTAACCATGCTCCCTTAATTCTGCTTAATAAAAACAAACAACTTGCACCATAAGGCAGAATTTTAGCACCAATTCCAAAATACATAAGCTAAAATATTACTACAGTATTATGAAATCACCTGATCAATCATCAGAATTTCTTCAGCAATAATTAACTATTGATCAAACATCAACAGACAGACAAATATCTATATATATAAGGGTCATCACAAAAATTGGTAAATAAAGATTTTTTCCAATACCTTTGTTTAGAAATTGACTTTTTTTTATATAGATTAAAGTAAATTTTAATTGAAAATAATCATTACTTTTGAGATCAGCAATTCTTGAAAATTTCTAGGAAACATCGCAATCATAAATTAACATTAAAATCAGGATTGGTTAAATGCAGTTTTAGTGTAATTTGACAGTAAAATGAATGAAAAATGTCTTGCCTGTCCTGTGCCTTCTATATTTTCTTTCACCATATTTTGACTACACACTCATCTCTGTAATTCTCAAAGGGGAACTCTTGTACATTTATTCTTAAGATTTTTTTATTGGTTCTTATAGTCTACATATGTTTCTGTTACCATATAAGCAGATAACTCTCAACACAAATTTCAGTTTTTCTGGCCCAATGTTCTGAAACATTTCAATATAATTGCTCAAAACATTTTACACTTATTAAGCTAGTTGTATCTTTTGCTATGGGGAAGTTCTCCATTTAAATACTTGGAAACTGATAGGCCAAATCACAAAGTTCAGTTTTTTACAGACCAGTTCTCTTAAATACTTCAAAGTAATTATCCAATGCTTAAAAACTTGTACAGCTATCAAGCTAGTACTCTAGTAGAAGTTCTCCATTTCAATACTTTGTATGGAACAGTTGAAGATAATAAATAGAAATTAAATTTGTTGTGATATTAACATATATATATATGATTGTGCATCTTTCTTTTAAATAGCGGGGTGCAGGTACAATATCATACTTTGTGATATCTTGTAGTCTTTTGTTTTGTTCCTCCTTTTCTGTCTTTATATTGCATGATTGTACATTTACATATGGAAACTTGTATTATTTCGATTTAAAAAATCACACTTGTAAGCATGCAAGGAGTCTATGGAATGAAACATGTATCCCTTCAGTAAATCGGACCCCATATGGCTAGGTGAAAGTGTCTTACAACTGTGCCACCAAACCATCGTCTGATCATGATGATGCATTGATTTCTAGATGATGATAGGTCGGTACATGTGTGTATGCCTATGTTTCGTTAAAATCTTGCGAAATATAAAACAAAATTTAGCACGCTTCAGTGCAGACATGGATCAGACAGTTCCAAATGTGCATCCTGTTTACCAACATGCGTTCGCTTTTAGGCAGTGTCTATTTCATATTACCCTTGTCTATGCTAAAGGTAAAGAATACACTTGTATGAGAATTGGTGTAACAAGGTACTGACACTTTGTTTCTCCATGACACAACTTTGTTTGGGTAGCATGCTATCTCAAATCTTTTCCCTCCTTTCTTCAGTCTAACGACAGCAACATTTGTCAACCGCTTCTGTCCAGTCGGTTGTTTTAATGTCGCCATTTCACGTCACACCAAACCAATTTTAAAAATGGTTGGAAACGTGCGGTGCTTCACCTATGTCACGAAGAAGCCGAACGTCTGCTGACGACACGAAAACCAAGAAGTAAGAAAATATTGCATCTGCGGAGAAATTGATGAAGCAACACCGGAAGTTAAGTTATGACGAACTTTCGTGGTTTCCGTTTTAGAAGAGCTCTAACTGTCAGTGCGCAAAGAGATGAGGATGTTTTGATATTTGTGAGAGCGACCTGTTGAAGGATGCTGCGGAAAATAAAGTTTGTATTTTGTCGGTGCTATGGATCTGCAGATCTCGGTTGAAATAAAATGACGGACGTAAAACCACCAGTATCCATCCATGAGTTAATACAGGTAAGTAAAATAGCAAAACATGTCCTTCATAAAAGTGTAAGTGTGTCACCTGTGTGCAAGGCAGTTTACACTATGCACCAGGCTGCTGGCATTGTGTAATTATTTTGGTGATGTAACTAACATCTTTATTTCACTTATTAAGGGAAATGTTTGTATTATTTGTTTATTTAATTGTCGGTATAAATGGCATAATTTTGTTAATTTTGTAACAATTCACAGGCTTAATAATTTACCTTGTTTTAAAATGTCCAACTTCCCTAAAATCATTCACCGTTGTTCACAAAAACTGATTGTAAACTAAATTTAAAAAATTGAAATTCATGATAAAACTCTCATCATAATTGGCCAATAAGTGAAACAATAGGCCTATGTAATTTATTGTATATTAGAAGTTTAATTAATTAAATACGATAAAAACACTGAATTGGCACTTCAAGATCTGATCTGACTTGTCTGATATTTCTCATTATTATTATAATTTTGTTTAAAAAAAGATTATTTAAGAGGTATCTGACCAATATCTGTTAGTATCTGTTACCATATCTTATATATAATTAACTATTTAATGACAATAGTCGAAGTAATTCCCATGGGAAAAATAAAAAATTGCTATTGTCTATGCTATCTAACAGGATCAACACAAAGACAAGAATATTCATTCTTAATAGTTAGTTGGAGATGCCTAAATTGTTTAGGTTATTTTCTTCTTTATTTTCTATGTCTGAAATTATATTCAGTTTGTCTTGTCTTCAAATCTGAACATAACAGTTACTCTTTGTTTTAAGAATGACATTTACTTCTTTTTCAGATGAAATTTGATTCAAGATTTGTCTTGATTTTGTTTTTGTTTATATTTTAAAAAAAATTGTCCAGTAGGATATTTTCGTTATTAAGGCAAGACTAGGGAATTTTTTGGAATACAATGAGAAATATCAAATAAAAAAGGGAGTTCACTTTTTATTACAACTATAACAAACTGTGAAGTATTTACCCACTATTTGCTTCAAACAAGGTTTGAGTCCTATTCTTTATTCACCAAACATACCAGGTAACAAGGTAAAACCAACTAAAACAATTCATTCCAACTAATACACAACTGGAATAGTTATCTCAACTAAACTATATGAGAGATTATCTGTTATTGGCTTCTACACACTTTTTTTTATTCCTTTTAATGTTTTGATACATTTATTGTACTTAAAAGATAATGATGGTACATTTGTATATACCAATATACTAAACACTTACAATAAAAAATATTGCAACATATATCACTTCTAGACTATATATATACTGTCAAGCAACATATACCATACATTCCTGGCACTTAAAATACTATTTTGTACTAATTGTTAACTTACATTATGAATAATAACAAGGCAAATACAGAAATATTTCATTTTTGAAAAGAGATGCAAGTCTCAAAAATTCCTGTTACATTCCTATACATGTGTAGGAGTCCAGACAGAACAAATATAGTAGACAGTAGTAATTAATAACTACATACTGTCTATTGATTTTTCCTATAGATAACCCATTTAGTTGATTAGCTTTTTTAAGATGATAGTCATTGACTGACAAGCTATCGGTTTTGTCTATTCAGCTTGCCCACATTGGCATCCCTGGTGATCAGGTGACATGGTCAAGGGTTACTATGACATCTGACCGATGGATAGCCATCAGGCATAGTAACAGGGATGACAAGGAATCTATGGTAAGTGAAATATTTATAGTACATTCTGTCACCATAATACATTTACTATATTTAACTGGTTTTAAAGTCAAGGCCAGGGGAACAACATTTACACAAAAAACATTGATTCATATTAGGGTATATGCTTCCTGCAGGACAATGAAATGCCTTTTGTTTACTTAGCATCTGTACTTTACTGCAGCAGATATGGGTGAATGTTTTTGTTGAACTCCAATATTTGCATATATACAATTAACTGCATTGGCTATGGATTTAAATATGCAGTAGATATCTATTGAACTTCAGTATATATGGATGGGTTTATTAGCAGACATGGGCTTATTATCAGAAATATATGGTATGTTAGCTAAAACTCTATGTGATCCAAGTATTCCTAGACAGATATTGATGTGATTAATGAATCAATTGGGATTCATTATCATTTTGCTACCTTTTCTAACATAAATATTACATTTTTAGATAGATATATTTTGATAGAAAAGTACCCAAACTTTTCCTCTAGGCTTACCAAGGTCTTTCAATGACCACTGTTTGTCTTGGTTACCTCATTAATTAATGCTAAGTGGAATGGTTACAACACTTGAAGGAATGAGGTTACTAAACAGGAGTGTATCATAGATGGGAGAGTTTGGGTTATGGTATAAATACCTTATGCCCTCTCTGTTAAAGTTGTCTTTACATGTTTAATGCTAGCTGTCAGCATTGCATATAATAAACTATTTATAGTAAGTACTCGTAAACAGCCTAGGTCTTACCTTAGTTACTACCAGGTTTTTAGTTGTTTTTACTGTGAGATGTTAAGTGTGATACATTCATTTCATCAAGATAATGTTATTATATTGATAAGGACAGTCTATGTTTTAGAGTAGGCCTTCTCTCAGTATCCCTGCAGCACCATGCCAGCGATCTATTTATAGTAAGTGTATATGGCTAATTTGGTTTATGGTATATGTATAAATATCTTTTGAAGTTTAATCAGTCTAAATGATGTTAAGTTCTGGGTTTGAAGATTGGGAATATGAACTCTAAACCAATCTCATACAGTTCTAATGCTCCACAGGTAAATAATATACAAATCTATAAATAGCCTTCACAAGTATGATCTACTACCCTTTGCCAATAAATATATAGCTCTCTAAATGAATGCTACTTTTTTAAGACAACTAAGTTTTATATCTTTATTAATTAATTGTTAGGTGACAAGGAGGCATCATAAACTTCCAGTTTTGATGCTTGCCTGAAATCTCTGTAACAACACATTTTTATACATGTCATCAATTTACATTTACTCTAAATAAAAACATTGTTCAAATGTTCAGATATCCACCTGCTATACATGGGAATAAAATGTAAACACATAATGCAAGTAAATAAGGTTGTTGCCAGTCAGTGGATGTTGAATGAAAAATGGACCAGATTTGAATAAATGTTGAGGGGCCTGGTTTATATAAATGTTGATAGACCTGGTTTATATAAATGCTGATGGACCTGGTTTATATAAATGTTGATAGACCTGGTTTATATAAATGTTGATAGACCTGGTTTATATAAATGTTGATAGACCTGGATTATATAAATGTTGATAGACCTGGTTTATATAAATGTTGATAGACCTGGTTTATATAAATGCTAATAGACCTGGTTTATATAAATGTTGATAGACCTGGTTTATATAAATATGGATAGACCTGGTTTATATAAATGTTGATAGACCTGGTTTATATAAATGCTGATGGACCTGGTTTATATAAATGCTGATGGACCTGGTTTATATAAATGTTGATAGACCTGGTTTATATAAATGTTGATAGACCTGGTTTATAAAAATATTGATAGGCCTGGTTTATATAAATGTTGATGGACCTGGTTTATGTGTATGAGGATGAGGATGGACCTGGTTTGTGTGTATAATGATGAGGATGGACCTGGTTTACATGTATGATGATGAGGATGGACCTGGTTTGTGTGTTTGATGATGGGGATGGACCTGGTTTGTTTGTTTGATGATGGGGATGGACCTGGTTTGTTTGTTTGATGATGAGGATGGACCTTGTTTGTGTGTATGATGATGAGGATAGACCTGGTTTGTGTGTTTGATGATGAGGATGGTCCTGGTTTGTGTGTTTGATGATGAGGATGGACCTTGTTTGTGTGTATGATGATGAGGATGGACCTGGTTTGTGTGTATGATGATGAGGATGGACCTGGTTTGTGTGTATGATGATGAGGATGGACCTGGTTTGTGTGTTTGATGATGAGGATGGACCTTGTTTGTGTGTATGATGATGAGGATGGACCTGGTTTGTGTGTATGATGATGAGGATGGACCTGGTTTGTGTGTTTGATGATGAGGATGGACCTTGTTTGTGTGTATGATGATGAGGATGGACCTGGTTTGTGTGTTTGATGATGAGGATGGACCTGGTTTGTGTGTATGATGATGATGATGGACCTGGTTTGCATGTATGATGATAATGAGAATGGACCTAGTTTGCGTGTATGAGGATGAGGATGGACCTTGTTTACATGTATGTTGATGAGGATGGACCTGGTTTGCGTGTATGGGGATGAGGATGGACCTGGTTTACATGTATGATGATGAGGATGGACCTTGTTTACATGTATGATGATGAGGATGGACCTAGTTTGCGTGTATGATGATGAGGATGGACCTGGTTTGCATGGACCTGGTTTGCGTGTATGTTTGCGTGTATGAGGATGAGGATGGACCTGGTTTGTGTGTATGAGGATTAGGATGGACCTGGTTTGCGTGTTTGATGATGATGAGGATGGACCTGGTTTGCATGTATGAGGATAAGGATGGACCTGGTTTGCGTGTATGATGATGAGGATGGACCTGGTTTACATGTATGATGATGAGGATGGACCTGGTTTGCGTGTATGAGGATAAGGATGGACCTGGTTTGCATGTATGAGGATAAGGATGGACCTGGTTTACATGTATGATGATGAGGATGGACCTGGTTTACATGTATGATAAGGATGGACCTGGTTTGCATGTATGAGGATGATGGACCTGGTTAGCGTGTATGAGGATGAGGATGGACCTGGTTTGCGTGTATGAGGATAGATCTGGTTTGCGTATATAAGGATGGACCTGGTTGCGTGTATGATGAGGATGGACCTGGTTTATGGTAGTGAGCACAACCAATCATCTGTCAAAAAATATCGCAAGCATGGGAGACATTTAACGGAAGGTGACTAAGGGGCATATATAGAAAGCAAAATTTTCTCAGTATTAGTCATTACTAATTTGTATCTGAATCTACGATGAAATCACCATACAAGATAAAAATACTTCGGGCATATATAATCGGTAAATATTTCAACTGATTTAAACTAATGGTCCAATATGATTTTCACCTGATATTCTAACACTGATATTGATGAAGCTGGTTTTATACTGATGCAGATAGACCAGGTTTATGTTAAAGTTTTATGTTGTACCAGCTTGCCGTCTATTTCTGTCATCCTGAATTACATTGGTAAAAATGTTGCAATCCAATATGGAAAATTAAACAGAATTCCAACATGTCTATAGGAATGCTAAGTAGAATGGCCTTTACAATGTGGGACTTAAAGACTGATTCATCAATCGTCAGACTATTCACACTCCAATGTACAGGTAATGGGATACACCAGTAGGAGTGTGCAGCTCAGATCAATATTCAGACATGAGAAAGGGAAGTCAGTCTGACAGAGACATTGATTAAACTTCATCATTAAGGTTATACCAAAGATTTTTTGTGACAAGTGATTGACAAGCTAAAAATTGGTTTTCATTTCTATGTGGTTGATAATAAATAATTCTTTAGAAATCAAATCTTACACTAAAGAGTTGAAATAGGCATCATTTCAGACACTTTATATAAATACATGACAAAATTTTAAGAGCAAGATTGTTATGCAATGTATAATCTACATGTTACCCTGGTAAAATACTAGCCACAATATACAGCTTGACTAGAGAGATTTTTTTAGCTTGATCAGTTGTGCATCAGATAGTAAGCCAGAGGTTCTGGGTTTGATTCGTAATGGTAGCATTGAAATTACCTCTGTTACAGATATATGGTATCACCAAACTGTTTCAGTGTTATAGTTTTCTCATAGTTATTCCTGATTGTGATTGGGTTATAATTGATCAGTTAAAGAGTGACTAATTTGCTTGCATAAAGTATATCAGGGTAGAACAGATACAGTATATAAAGATTATTTGTCGGAAGTTGAGGAAAATGTAAAGAGGACAAGCTCTTTTTGGAGTGAGGAGGAGGGAGAAGAGGAAATATTATCATGGATTGCTACAGGGGTATAGGGGAGGGGAAATTATCTTATAGATAGACCTCTAGGGTAGAGGAGGGGAAATTATAACATAGATAGACCTCTAGGGTAGAGGAGGGGAAATTATCTTATAGATAGACCTCTAGGGTAGAGGAGGGGAAATTATAACATAGATAGACCTCTAGGGTAGAGGAGTGGAAATTATCTTACAGATAGACCTCTAGGGTAGAGGAGGGGAAATTATAACATAGATAGACCTCTAGGGTAGAGGAGGGGAAATTATAACATAGATAGACCTCTAGGGTAGAGGAGGGGAAATTATAACATAGATAGACCTCTAGGGTAGAGGAGTTGAAATTATAACATAGATAGACCTCTAGGGTAGAGGAGTGGAAATTATAACATAGATAGACCTCTAGGGTAGAGGAGGGGAAATTATAACATAGATAGACCTCTAGGGTAGAGGAGTGGAAATTATAACATAGATAGACCTCTAGGGTAGAGGAGGGGAAATTATAACATAGATAGACCTCTAGGGTAGAGAAGGGGAAATTATAACATAGATAGACCTCTAGGGTAGAGGAGGGGATATTATCTTATAGATAGACCTCTAGGGTAGAGGAGGGGAAATTATAACATAGATACACCTCTAGGGTAGAGGAGGGGAAATTATAACATAGATAGACCTCAAGGGTAGAGGA